TAACCTGATTTGAGAAGCTAAAGGAGGACCAGGCCTGGTGAATATTAGGATGAGAAGCAGGTAGAGATAACCAGGAAATCCTACCTGTCATCAGAGCTGACTATGCTGGGCTAAGTGGCCCTTTCTCTCCATTTTTATCTTCACAACAGACGTGGGCAGTAGGTTTGGATGAGAGATAGTCCAAGGTTTTCCCCTAGGTGGACTTTGCAGTCATCCCTTTGTTGTTGTTTAGTCATTAAGTCATGTCCGACTCTTTGTGACCCCACGGACCAGAGCACGCCAGGCCCTCTTGTCTTCCACTGCCTGCCAGAGTTGGGTCAAATTCATGTTGGTAGCTTCAATGACACTGTCCATCCCTTAGGGATTACTTATTTGCTTCTGCCTGGAAGCAGCACAATCCTATTTGCATTTATGAAGTCCCACTTTGTTCACATGAGGTTTATTCCCATCAAAGTATATTTAGAATAGCAGACTTAATATAGAAGGCTATGCACATGTTTCTGAGACTAAGCTCGTTGAACAGAGAAAGACTTAGTTCTGAGTCAATATGCATAGGATTGTACTGCAAGCATCTTTCCCTGGAGTGAGCTCCACAGAATATAGTCAGACTTAGTTCCACTGGACACTGCATACGATGTTGCTGTACAATTAAGGTGAGAGAATTGGGGCTTTGACCTGGGGCACCCATGTTTAAAGGAAGTTGCAATTGCTGCTGAAAGGGCATGAACCTCATGCACCCCAAGCACATATCCCACTTCCATCCACTCTACCCCAGGCAAAACGAAATGCAAAACAGGAAGGAAGGAACCAATTATGGCACACTTAGAAGCAGGCATTCTTGCCCATTTCTCTACCCTTTTTCCAAATATGCCAGTAACCCAAGCTTAACCAATGGGGAAGCAAAGCCTCCACCACCACCCCGAAGCAAAATGGCTGGTCATGGCTTTAATGATGTAAATATAGAGAAAGAAGCTGTTTTAAATTGAGCTCAGCCATTGGTCCACCTAACTCCATTTTGTTTCTGCTCCACGTAGCAGCTGATCTCTAAAGTAGTACTTCTCAACTTTTGGTATCTTGCATCCCACCAATCTCTCTGCCAAAGGATTTGGATCCCATCATAATAGAAACCCTACTTTTTCCAAGAAATACATGTTTATGTTTGCAGACCTTCTACTACAGTTATCGTCTACTACATGTTTTAAAGTACATTTTGGATGCTATATGAACCGAACAACACGATTGCTGTGAATAGCTGAAAAGTGTAATGATACTGTTATTATTCATATTTGTTGTGCAAACCCTGTACCCAAGTCTGTGTTGTCTGAAATGTAAATGTACCATCAGTTGAAAAGCTCTGCTCTAAGGCCTTCTCAGCCTTGCAACCTTAGAGATGGTGGGTCATGAGTAGCAGTCAGGAAATCATTATGCATATGACCCCATGTCCCTGGGATCTCCAAAGGGTGTGTGTGAGAGAAATCCTTCCAACAAAGAAGACTTGGTGGTTTTCCTTAAACCAAAGTGCCTTCTTTATATCCACCTTGTTTTGCTTCCATCACCATCTCAAAGAAGTTTAGGAAACTGGAAGAGGGTTTTCTGCCATTGTACTTCTGACTTTATTTTGGACACTGATATGATCTGAGAGAGGGTATAAAACTTGTTACTTAACCTCTGCAGCTTGTCCACCTCTGCCCTAAGTCCTTATGGATGGGTTCTGCTACTGAACATCAACCCTCTCCTAAACACAAAGTCCACAATATTGGTGATATGAGGATACTGACAGGGATTTTTGATGTGGTGGTGGTGGTGGTTAATAATATAAACAATATTATACGATATCTGTCTCTTCTTTCAAGCTGCTTGGGGCAAGGACATTTACCCATTTTATCTCCCTAGGTCTATGGGAGAGATGAGGCTGATATAAATAACTGGGCCAAATTGAAGAAGTAGCTAGCCTTTTTTTATTCAGTGGGTATTTCACCCCAGATTTCGAGCACAGTTCAGCATTTTGTCCAGCATTCACTAGCACATAGACTCATCAGCGGAAGTCCAAGGTATTTTGCTGTCTGAGGCAAAGGTCAAGATGGTGGCTCTTCTACTGCACATGAAAAGGTGACTAGACTAACAATTCACCATTACTTCAGCACTGCCAACAAAGACTCTCTGTCAACTATACATCATACATATTTAGGGAGCCCAAGGTGAATTATATAGGAGAAAGGAACACACATGAAGTCCATAAGTATGCAGGAGATTGAGGTGGAGGATGTCCTCAGAGCTCTTTTCCAGCACCATGATTCTTTCAAGGGGATAAGGATTTGTTTTGAGCAAGGTAGCCAGGCCAGCAAGCAAAACCCACAATTGTCAAGTCCCATTAATGTTCCTCAGAATGTCCCCAACTCTGAAAATAGGTTTATAGTAGCTTGAGCAATAATTTTGCCTTCCAATGATTGACTCATGTTCTAAGAAGCCATTCAATGATGGCTACAAAGTGCCAGCGACACAGAACACACACATGGATGTGCCTTTTGGGAGACACTTATAAACAGCATTGTCTAATAAGTACCCTTATATGTTGTGTGTGTTTGTACACACAGACATACGCTTCTCAAACAGTAAGAGAAGACTCTGTTGTGGTTTTTTTCCCTGGTAAGAAGCACACAAGCAGAGAACGCCAAGGGCAGCCAGTATTTCTATACTAAGATTTTTTCCTCTTACTCTCTCCAAAATAATTCCACTGTCACAAAGCCACCCTGCCATAGAACACAACAACAAACTGTATGCTTACAAAATATTATACTGTGTCCTGCAAAATGCTCAACTAGAAGAAGAGTCTGCCTGGCTAAGGGGAGGGAAAAGGGAGCAGGTTTCTGACTGAATAGCTCACATCACACCATATCTGTCATTCATTCAATAATTGGGGGGGTAGGGTTGGGTAGGGGCAGAGAACAATCAGTCGCTCTAAACCAGAAAATGGATAAGTATAATTGAGGGTTGTCAGATGTCCCTTCTTCTATCAGCGCATCTTATCCTAAGGGGCGGCCTCTTGTTTCCCATCATCCGGTCGCCGGAACATTCCTTTGTTTTCAAATTTTGATCCAGCCGTCCGATGAATGCTACCTTGAGAGGGCAGACATGAAAATACCACAAGGGGAAGGAGATGCTGAGGGGAACAGCTGCCCCACTCAAGCAGGCATTTGCATTTCCCACCTCCTTCACAGTTTACTGCTTCCAAGGTACCAAGAAAGATTCTTTGATTCCTCATTCTCATGATGTTGGAAACAAGCCTCTTTGCATGTCGTTGAGTTCAACACAATCACTGTCTATCTTCCCTGTCAGCAGTTCTCTCTCTCTCTCCCACACGCACACACACACACACCCATCTTTATTGGCCTTGCGCGGGAATATCAGCAACCCAGAGGCAGCTAGCACAGTCAACACGGTGAAAATATCAAGTGGTACATCATTCAATCCACTAACACCACTATCTTCTATCCTTTCTTTCTTTGGCCCTCTGCGTTCCCTCCCTCTTCAAAACAAAAAAGAAAGCTGTCTCTGTCTCTAGAGCCAAACCATTTTTTTAAAATTTTATTTTCTATTTTTGCAAAGCTCTAGGAAAGAAAAGTAATCCATAGCCGGATGAGAAGATGGGAAACCTGCATTGAAGGAACACAGAGGCTATGCAGCAAAAGGCACCCATGTAAACAAGCCGATGGTCACTGAGGATACCAAAACACACAAATACTGTACACGCACATGCACAAAGCAAAGAGCACATCTCTTATGGGGCTGATCTGCAGGATTTTGACCTCCAAGAGAGGTGCATGCAAACACTTTCTATCTTTATTCGGGCCCGCATTGCAGAATGAAGAAAAAAAATGCTATCCAAACATTTTGTCCTTTTGTAATAGCTGGGCTGGTTGTCAAAGGCTACTCCGGTTAGGGGTACATTGATTTCACTGCAGTCTTTATAAGAATGTATATAGGATATCCTTTCACAACACACAACACTTCCCCCTCTACCATAACACCGCACTGCCCTAAATCGTGGGTGTATTAAAAAAAAAAAGATGGATTCCCCCCCCCCCTTCGGTTACAAGTCACTGTTATGCAAGAGAGTGATGTTTATGTTAAGAAATGACTTCCTACCGGCAAAACACTTAATTTGCCCGCTCCCATCTTCACCTCTGGACCGTCATCCCTCATACCCACACATACCCATATCCCACCAAGATAGTTTTCAAGAGAGAGGCGCACTTCGGGTTCATTTCCAGATGCATCAACCATTGGCAATGGGGGCGCGCGGGGGGGGGGGAAGAGGCGGAAGCTAAGCTGTGACCATTAAGGCAAAGAGTGGATTTCGAAAAATGCCATAAACGGAGTCATTTACATTTTTTTTAAAAAAAGGAATAGTGGAAGTGACACAGCCAGGCACGGTGTAAGGAGACCACATCTACATGACCGTGTCTTTTTTCGGAGGTGGGTGGAGGGAGGGGAAGGAGATGAAAGGATGCTCCAGAGGACAAGGGAATGGAGGGCGCAGCACCACTGTTTACATCCCCCCCCCTCAGCTTGCTCAAAGAAACTCAGGTCCGCCCGAGGGCTGGGACCGTGTGGATACACAGACCCTCGCCTGCCACCGACACCGGAGAGACCCGCGGAATTACTGACCCCCCCGACGCAGCAAGCCCGAAGATGCGCCTCCGGCTTCCAGCGGTGCAGCAGCTGCCTTCTTGCTTCGGCTAGCACTTTACTTCATTAACCTGCCTCTTCCTCCCTCTCTGCCTCCCCTTTCTCTCTTCCCCCCCCACCGTCGACCTACACACACCTCCCCCTCCCCCTCCTCTTTATTATTTTTAACAGCAATCAATATTCATCCGCCCGCCTCCTCTCACAAAGACGGCGGAGGTGGGGGAGAGAGAAAGAGAGAGAGAGAGAGAAGGAAGGGAAGGAGGAGGGGGGTCGCCAAGCCCGCGCGATCCCTCCCAGCGGCCATCACTTACCATTCCTCGCCTTGCGGACTAGCCTCCTGACTGGGCTGAAGCAGGACCAGGACGAGCGGCGGCGGCGGCAGCGGCGACCTTACGTGGTCTTTCGCAACCGCCCCATTGTCAATAGTGGAGAGGAGCGGAGGCGGTGGTTTACCTTTTTGGCGTTAGACCAGGCTAATTACCACCTTCATTCTTGTCCCTTCTTTCTCTCTCCGCCCTCATGTCACCAAGCGAGGGACCCAAGCGGGGCTGAGGAAAGGGGGGAGGCGCGGAGCTAAAGGGGGAGGAGCAAGGTGGCGGGTTGCTGAATCACCCTCTTTTACTGTCGGGAGACCAGGATGGAGGGTGAGGATGATGCCGCCGCTGCCGGCTGTACCATTGTGGAAGGCGCAGCTACCCGAGGAGATGGGCAGAGGAGGGCTTGGGGACCGGGGCTGCCATGGCAACGGGAAGGAGCACACATGACGTCAAAGC